CGGCGGCGGCGGCGGAGTCTCGCGCTGGCGGCGACCACGCAGAGGGCGACGCGGAGCGAGGCGGCGGCGGAGGAGGCGGCGGCCGCGGCGGAGGCGGCGGCGGCGGTGGCGGCGGCGGAGGCGGGCGACCCATCTCCGGAGCTGGGGCGTGGGGATGGCACCGCCGCCACCGCCACCTCCGCCACCTCCGCCACCTCCGCCGCCTCCGCCGCCTCCGTCGCCTCCGCCAAGCCGATTCCTATCCCCATCACCAAGGCCGGCTTGCGCGCTGCGCTGCACCGGCGCGGCATCACTCCGAAGAAGGACAAGCGCGGGATGCAGCGGCAGCTGCGGGAGCGCGTGGCCGAGGAGCAGAGTCGCGGCGGGCAGGGGGCGGCCTCGGAAGAGGAGCTTGCCGCCATGGCGCAGCGCGTGCTCAGCGGTCGGCTCAAGCAGGGGCGCGACGCGGCCGGCCAACACTACTACGACGAGGACGATGACGAGGTGGGGAGATAGGGGGAGAGATGGAGGGGGAAGGGGGAGATAGGGGGGGGGGATAGAGAGATAGGGGGGAGATGGGGGGAGGCCGGACCGCTACACATTGCCATGCCTGCACTCTCACTCTCCTTCTACAGGAGCCGTGGAACGACGCGTGCGACACGTGCGGCGTGGCGCGGCCCACCGCAGCGGCTGCGGCCGGCGCTCGCTGGCTCAAGTGCCTCCTCTGCCCGGCCCTCGACTTGTGCGCCTCGTGCGCGGCCGAGGTCTCTCTCTCCCCCTCTCTCCCAATACCCCCCTAACCCCCCCCTCTTCCCTTTCTTTCGCATGCGCGCTGCGTCGACTGAGCAGGCGCCGCCCCGAGTCTCGTCCCGGGTGCTACCAGCTGGGCGCTGCTGGCACCTCGACCCGACTCGGCGCGTCCTCGACCTCTCGCCGCAGCGCCGCCGCAGCGCCGCGGCGTCTCGCATGTCGCGTCCGAGAGAGCGCTCTGCCGCGCTCCGACGCGGTTTCTTTTGCGCTCTGACGCGGTGCCGCGCTGCCTGCCGCGCGCCCGTGCCGTCTCTCGAGTCTCTGCGCCCCCCATGGACCCCCCCCCCCCTCCCCCTCCTCGTGGCCGCTGAGAGGCCGGCCGGGCCGGGGAGAGCGGTGCACTGCGCCGCACACCCCCCTCGAACTCCGGATCCTCGCACTGTCTTGTCACCACTGCCCAGTGCCGCGGCGGCGCAGCATCGCCACCCGGCGGGAGGCCGTACCTCTCTCCCTCTGTGGGCTTGCCCCCGACTGTACGTTATTGGACGCCCGCTGCTCGGATCTTGTGTACGTGCTGCGCGCGCGCGTCCCTACTCGTCCCCACCTTTCGGACTTCTCGCACGCATGTGTGTGTGTCGCGCGCGTCTTGGGGTTTTCTTACGTTCCGCCGGCTCACGTCATGTTATATGCCTTCATGATATGTACCAAACAGTATGGACGCCGCACCGACAGACAGAGTGCGCGCGTCAGGCCTCCCCAATAGACAAAACAATCACCAATAGACAAAGCCCCTCTGCCAGGGGTGACGAGGACTGACGTTCCGCCGCTGCGACTCTCAACCGCTAAGAGGGAGAGCGAGGCCACGGGGAAACGCACGTAGGCCACATGGCGAAGGGGGGACAGAGGGCCGGGGACAGAGAGGGGAGGGAGGGGGGGGGATTTCCCTTTCTCCTCCCTTCTTTTTTCTTGCCCCTTCTTTCCGCCCTGGCTCCCCTTGGCCCTCCTTCCCCCCTTTTCCTTTCCTTCTCGCCGCCCCCTTTCTTTTTCCCCCTTCCTTTT